ATGCCCTCTCAGGGTTGAGTTGAGGTTTCCTGTACACAGGGATCTTTCTGTTACTGACAATCCTTTGAGCGGTTTGAACGTCTCATGACATTCATTCGTGAACCGCCGCAGACGATGTGCTTTTCAGCTTTCGGCCGCGTTGAACGCGCTAGTTTGGACAGGAAGATGATGCCAAGGAAGCTTTGATCATCTGATTCACGAAGTATGTAATCAGACTATTGCAGTTATTGCCCCTGTGTGTGTGCGCGCGCGACCGTATCAGACTAAAATACCGGTTTCTGACCCATTCGCTTGGAAGCCGATGCCTCCATCTTGCTGTCGAAATGATGGTTAACCATCAATGTATAAATATATATATATATATGTGTGTATATCACCAATCTTTACAGATGCGGCACCAAAATAACCATGGGTTAACGAAGAATATAGATACATAGACGGGGAAAACAAAACAGTCAACTTGGGGGATAACAATTTTTGTTTGTTAGTTCACTGCACGCCATTTGAGTTTTTTTGTTTTTGTTTATTTTTGGGATTGCACACGGGAGAAGATGCATTCACGCCACTGACTTCGGTTCGATGCCATATCCCGCAGTATGTCCAGCCATAGACAATCTGAATCTTTGGGGGCCTAACCGAGAAGCCCAGAAGCCCCAACGGAAGCCGGATCTAAGAACAGTCTCTTTAACCCTCTGCGCCACGTCACAGCCTGCCTACCTCGCTGGTTCTTCCAGCCTGGACCGATGTCTGCGAATAGTGCACGGNGTGGCAGACGTTGATCAGGCATTCGTAGTACATTCCCTAGCCTGCTAAGACGATAGGAAATTACTTTGCTCAACGGAAGACTATCTGATCCTAGTACCCGTTGTCTGACTTCATCGTTATCCGCGCCGTGCTCCCAACACACACGAGTGCAGACAACGGGTGTCGGAGACGGATACGCGTTGGACGTGATCTGCTCGGAGGTCAGATTTCGCAGTCATAGAGTAACAAGATGCGTCAGAGATGCTGCAGATGAGCAAACGTCAATCTAGTTTTGATCACGCGTTGACAGATATCCTCGCCCACACCTCCGCCAGCCATTATGCGACCATCAGTGATCGAAGGCTTCAAACCGTCGTCTTCTGCTTTATATTTCGCAGCCGTACAGCAAAACACGATGGACCACTGCAGTCAAACTTCCTTTTCCTTAGGCTCACTTTGTCTCTGCGCCATAGGGGATTCTCCGTTTGTAGAAACGCCTTTCTGGCAGCATCGACCAGCAGTTGTATCTCACCTTTGTCAGGCGTGTTATTGAACCAGGCGAAAGCAAAGCTGTCTACCACCAAAGTTGGGTGGCGGTGGTGGGGCTCCAACTTTGGACCATAGAGTCTGCCTTACAGATATTAGGTCCCGAATGTAGCCGAGGGAGATACGGGGCTCCACAGCGCCAGTGCACCACAAGCGTCCAGAGGTCACTTGAACTCCTATCAGCCAATTGAATAATTTTCGGGAATTTATTTTCAGACCTACTCTATACGTGCATATATGATGAGTTATCTCAAAGGTGGCGTGGAGGAGTGTAACTCCTGGAATGGGTACAGTGCTACGCCACGCGACTAGTTGCGGGACTTGGTGGGATCATCTATGAAGGTCAGCTCCAAGAACTTGGACTCCTCCAGGTTGGCTTCAGAAGACACCGCGGGGATTTCTTCTATCTGTGGATGATTCTTCGTCGCGATCTGGGACCATAACTACATGCTGCTTCCAATGCGAGACTGCAATCGGACACGTGTACACAGACGCACCCGACAGAAGCTGGAGTAAACGGGACTAACTCTGATTTATGGCTTTTCCCGGAAGGCGACTACTCTCTGGAATTCGCTTCCGTCGGAGGTGGTGGAGCAGAACGAGGCGCGATTCAAACGGCGTCTCGACGAACAACTGCAGACATGTGAGCGGGTTGATATGGTTACCGACGGTAAAGGTGCGCATACGGGACCCAGCCCCTCTGCTATCTATACATAAAGATGGCGATTTCGTACACGAATCTTTAGCTCCATACACGACTTTCAAACGCATCTATAACAATGTAAAGCGGCTAAAAGATCTTTCAGCTAGAGTGAGTTTAAGATGGTCCTGATCGTTAGAAAAAGCCAAAAGATCACCCAACGAAAAGTGTTGGAGATGGTAATGATAGCGTATGATATCGCGGCACATGAAGAGTAAAATCCAATAGCACTAGATGTAAACAAAATTTAGTAGTTTAGAAGCTGAAATTAAGGTTATTAGCTAACAAAAGTATTTCGGTCAAACTAAATACAAACAGTTGTATGAATACAACACCATTATTATTCATTGCTGACATTAAACACAAAAATACTAATGAAACAATTAATGTCGATATACTTTACACTAAACGGTACGAGGAACTTACTCAATGGATTCCTGATGACCCGAACCACTAACTGTTTTGGATCCCCATCTCTGTTCTCTTTCGGAAACATCATTCTAAATATTTTAGCTATAATATCTAGAAGGATTACCACGAAATCGGGATCGGTCTCCCAGTCATCCGACATTTCCACACCGATAGTAATAAATGCACCACTGCTCAAGGTCAATTCAGTTCAGGTCCGATCCGGTCAGGTCAGGTCAGGTCTTGAAGTGTCTTGAAGTGATTCACGGGTTCGAGGCTGTTGCCCAAATGTCCCGGGTCCTTGAAAGGTATCTGTCTTTTTTGTTTGAATTACCTCTAGAACAGAGAGTACTAAAGAGGGATTAGTAGGGTTTCCCGCTCGAGGCGAGAAATAAAATGAAGACTTGCGAACTCTTATATAATTCAAAATGTTTTTCTTCATTTTATTGGGGAGGAGTAGATAAACCCAAGTGGCAGTCCAGACGAAGTTTGAAGACCGCCTTGCTAGGGGCGCTGACTATCTCTTCTGGAAGGTCATTCCATAAGGATATCACCCT